TTGTCAACGATTTCATGAGGGCTATTTCGCGGACCACCAATAAAGTTAGACGAGCCTCCAAAGGTGCATTTGGGGCTACATATAATGGCAAGGGCTCTGGCAAAAAAGAACAGAAAGCCGGAAACAAAAAGCCTAGGAGAAAACAGATCAAACGCCGACCAAGGAACGAGAGAAGTAGGGATGAGGACCATTCCGAATGTCTAGCGTGTGGAATGGAACATGCATTGTCGAATTGTTTCCATGTCTTCCTGGAGAAGGCATGAAGGGCTTCCGACCTAGGGACTATCTCGTTGAGAAGACGACCCAAGCCTTGGAAGATCCAGAACTACAAGCTCAAGTCCGCGCCTTAAAGCGGAACAAGTCAAAATCAAGTACAAGGACTTCTCAACCTAAAGGAGAAGAGCCTGAAGAGATTCAAGATTGACTCTATGGCAGAACGATGGGCAAGGTGCTATCAGCCTTCACAGCTGTCAAATCAGACGACTATCCACTGGCCTATTCAGTCATTTTAGATAGTGGAAGCACTATCACGATCACAAACCAAGCATGGCGTCTAACCAGCTGGAGGACTGCGCCACCAGGGGATTTTGTATGGTAAGGAGACCGCCCCCTACCCATCCAAGCGTACGGCAAGATGCAAGTACGCATCGGAAGCACGATTATCAGCTTTCCAAATACGGCCTACTGCCCCTCATTCCTCACCACTCTCGTATCCCTACGAGAACTCAGACGGAGAGGATATTGGTGGGACAACAAGGAAAGGCAGACCAGTCTCAAAAGAAGAGACAATACCTTGGTCAGCCATATCAAGGACATGTACGGCCAATATGTCATCAACTACCAACCGAACGACCCAAACGCTATATTCCACACCGCACAACGAAGCAAGAAGCATCTACACAACTCATGGTCCAGAAGATCTCCCCTCACTGGGAACGCGTGGCTGTGGCATCAACGACTAGGACATCCTGACCCACAAGCTTTGGAACACCTAGTGCGCGCATCTCAGGGGGTGGTCATCCAAGGACCAACAGGAGTGGAATGCGAGTCATGCGCAGTGTCCAAGGCCAGACAGCATATATGGAGAGCACTACGATCCAACTACAAAGATCCAGGAGAAAGATTAGCTCTTGACTTCCACAACTACGAGAGGTCCCTATCAGACAAGTCATCTCACATGGTCTTCATATATAGAAACTCTGGTATCTCATGGGACTATGCTCTCAAGAATCAAACTACGCAAACAATCATCCATGTGGTATCAACGCACCTCTTGTGGCTGGAATGCCAATACGACATCAAAGTTAAGGTAGTTGAAACAGACAATGAAATATACATTAACAAGCCAGATATAGGAAGATGGCTAGAAGCCCGCGCAATCAAGGTAGAGCCCTCGGCTCCCAATACACAAGCCCAAAACGGAGGTGCCAAGTGCCCAGGGGGTGTACTGAAAACGAAAACGCGCACAATGCGAATCGGTGCTAGATTGCCGACCTTCATATGGCCAGAAATACTCAAAGCGGCTACATATCTCTACAATCGGACACCAAGAAAAAAGAGTGGGTAAAAAACCCCTTTCGATGTTTTCTTTGAAGCAGTCATAAGGAAGACAGGTCGACCAATGGCCCCAGACAAGCGCCCCAATCAGACACATCTCTGGGTGTATGGCTGCAAAGCTTACGCAATGACAACCGACATGAAGTTGGGTCGCCGAAGGCTAGACAGACTCAGTCCCAAAGCATGGATTGGATACTTGGTTAGATATCGGTCCTCCAATATCTACCGTGTGTAGGTGCCTCACCTGAACAAGGTGATAAGTACAAGAGATGTCACTTTTAATGAGAACGAGGTATTTGATGGAAATAAAGAGCGGTTCTGAAATGACTTGAAGACAGCGATTATTAAAGAGATACAAGCCATGGTCAACAAGTACGCTTTATCCGAGTCTGACGACTATATCCAGGACGAGGAAGAAAATCTTGATGAACTGCAAGCAGACTAACATCCTCCCTTGACGGGGGTAGAGGATGGAAGTGCGGGAGGCCCAGTGGTCCCAATAGGGATACAAGTCCAATAGAACGAAGAGGAAATAGATATGGGTATTGAAAATGAGCACCCATACACCACGACAAAGTGTGCCCTATTACCTTCACCACCGCCTAGTCCTCTGTCCGCCCTGTTATGTCATAGTATTCAGAAGGGGAATAAGGAACCCAAAAATCCTCTCCAAGACCCAGGACGAAAAGAGCTCGAGCCTTGGAAAGCGGTGTTTCTAACAGGCCTAAAGGCTTCGCCCATAGAATGATTGGATAAAAACACCCTAGATCGGGCAAGCATTGAGAGAGCCTTGCAAAAAGGATTCAAACTGCACAGGCAACTCCTAGAAGAAGCGCCACGGTAGCGCAACGAACTAGCAACCCATTCAATAAGACACTTGTTCAAAATGGCCGAAAAGTATCACCTAAAAGTCATGATGGCATGAGGTCATGGACTGAGATCCGAAAGAAAGACCCATCTATACGAGGGCATCAAATCTTGGACTGCATGTGGGTGTATGTCTATAAGTTTGATAAGCATGGGAGGTTCATCAAGTGCAAGGCATGTCTTATGGTCAGAGGAGATCAACAGAAGGGACTGCATTCAGAGCAAACGTATGCAGCTACTCTTGCTGGAAGATCGTTCAGAACCTTGATAGCCCTGGCGGCCAAGTTTGACCTTGAGATGATCCAGTACAACGTTGTTAACACCTTTGTGCATGCCCCTATTAATGAGAAGATCTTTATGCGGATACCACACGGCTATCGCAAGAAAGGTATAATTCTTTAGTTGAACAAGGCACTCTACGGGCTGAGGGTTTCTCTATTGCTATGGCAAAAAGAGTTTCCAAAGACTCTGGCCAGCTTGGGATTCAACCCGGTTCCATATGAGCCGTGCTGTTATACAAGAAAAGGAATCATGATATTCTTCTACGTGGACAACATGATCGTCACATATAGAAAACACACACAAAAAGATATTCAAGACATGATTCAGCAGCTTCAACAAAGATACGAGATCACTGGAGGCGAGCACGTTCAATGGTTCCTTGGAATGGAAATCATTCGGGACCGGCCCCAGCGAAAGATTTGGCTATCCCAGACCTCTTACATTAAGAAAGTAACCAAGCTAATCAACCTGACTGACAGACTCCCTGAGGTCCCAATGGGTACAGAAGAACTACTGCACCGGCAAGATCACGCCGCCCCTCACGAGATCCAGAAATACCAACATAAGATTGCTTCCATTCTATTTGCGTCCGTTTCCACACAACCAGACATAGCCTTTGTAACATCACGCCTCGCGAGATTCCTCACAAACCCAAGTCAGATCCATCAGAATACCGCCGACCGAGTCATCCAATATCTATACAGAACAAGACACCACTCTCTCCAGTTTGGAGGAAACGATTTAGTGGTGGCCAGTGATGCTTCCTTTGCCGACAATTGTCTCAACAGAAAGAGCTCTCAGGCTTTTGCCATGACTCTTTTCGGAGGATTGATCGGCTGGAGGGCCAACAAGCAAGACACGGTCAACATATCTACTACAGAAGCGGAACTACTCGCACTGGCTCAGGTAGTCAAAGAGACTCTGTACATCAGCCGGCTGGTTACGGAACTTGGTGTTCAACTCGAACGCAAGAAGATCAAAGTGGAATGCGACAATACACAGATAATTAAGCTAGTGACAGCCAAAATCGCCCTTTTAAAAACCAAGTTGCGGCATGTGGACATACACAACCATTGGCTTCGACAAGAAGTGGAACAAGGAACCGTCAGCATCGAATATACGCCTTTAACACAGATGAAAGCGGATGGGTTGACCAAGGCCTTGCCGGCTCAACGGTGGGCAGGATTTCTGGATCAGTTGGGATTGGTAGACACTCAGGCGAGGCAGCTTGATTTAAGGTCACAGGAGGGAGCCATTGAGAAGAAAGAAAAGATTCTGAGTCAAGACCCTGAGGTAGTTTACTCTATAGACTAGTTCAGCCAGAGCCGTTGCCTGCCTGGCTGAGGGGGTGTGTTGGATTAAAGGTGAGCACAGAGGGCACCTTGATAGGTAGACACCGGAACCTAGTTGTTCCGTCCCGATCCAGCCCCCTCTGGCACAAAACTGCCACGGTCGCACAAGGACACTCCAGACACACAGAATACACACACACACTTCAACCTTACGATTGGCTCAAATCTGACAGGGTACTGCACCTAAGGGCACCATATCTGGGATCCAACATCTGACAGTTTATTATTAAAAGATAAAAAAAAAGTATATAGTTTTAATTAGGATTGAATAATGTAAGTCACAAGCGAGCGGGACACTTTTACCAACCTCCTAACTGCTATATTAAATAACTTAATCACAACACATTCAATTCATTCAATCAATCAGATTCCTTTTTTTCAGAGTTTTATATTTCTATTGTACAAGTTCGTGTATTATGGCCAGTTTTGCCGCAAACGCCACACCGTCGCTCATGCGCTGCCGTCCTCTTTGGACGATGATTACTTTCACCCATTTCCTGTCTTGTCAGTCCAGTATTATCCTTTGTAGTCTGAAGACTTATTATATCTTTAATAGAAAATATTCTTTTTTTTATTTCATTTTTTTGTTTTTGTTTTTTTGGTATTTATTTAGTAATTGATTGGCCTCTTTTAGCTCACGAACCTGGGAATCAACCAAAGTGACCTTATATATAAGACCGTATATAGCCTTTAAAAACAAGCTCAATGCATCAATTATTAATGTAGGTGAGTTTCTTTGGTGGTTTCTGACTCGATTTTGGATATAAACCAATTGGTTTACCGCTTTGTTAATAGTGGTAGGCGTCTTTGGAAGTCCAAATAATCGGTGGCAGATTGGGATCTGGAACGGATGACCGACATGAGGACTATAGAGTGTAGGACATTATAACTGCACTGATCTGAGACGGCGTGGATGTGAAGTTGATCTCATCCCACCTTTAACTACACACGATTCATCGTAACGTTCCTGCTATCATCATTATCGCCACCATGCTCCAGCAGCGCAAACGTGTAAGCCCCTTTCTCCAACTCCCACACGTTCTTCCGGTTGAGGATGGTCAGATACCGATCCGCGTCCAACTCCATAGATACTGCAACCTCTTGGCCCGCATCTACATCAACGCGCTTGAAAGCCGCAAGCTGCCTGACGGGCTGAACGATAGACGAGACCCGCGATAGGGTATAGACCTGCGCAACGTAGCTCCCAGCCACCGTGCCGTTATTCCTGACCAGCATCGAGAACGTGATCGTGTCGCCAGTAGTAAAGGTCGGAGAGCTCCCATTACCCGCCGAAGCTTCGAAGCGCGAGACATCAAACGTGGTGTACGACAACCCATACCCAAACCAATAAGCGGGCGAGGAATCGACGTCCAAATAGTCCTTGATGTGCGCAAACGCCTTGTAATTGTAGTACACAGGAACCTGACCAACATGTCTAGGCGTAGTAACAGGCATCCGCCCGCCCGGATTGACGTTACCGAAAAGCGCATCGGCAATAGCCTGACCTCCAGACTGGCCAGGGAAGAACGTGCTCAAGACAGCTGCGCTCTGGTTGTAGTAGTCGAACCCGAACGGCCGGCCACCCTGGAGGACGAGGACGACGGGCTTGCCCAGCTTGTAGATCTCCTGCGCTAGGATGTCCTGGCTCGGCGCAAGACCCAGGGTTCCCCGGTCGCCGCTCTCGCCGTCGCTGTTCCAGGCCGCGCCGACGGCGAGGACCACCACGTCGGAGGAGCTTGCTATCTGGACGGTCTGGTCGACTGCGTCTCCGGTCCGGCTGACGAGGTTCCAGAACAGGATCATCTGGGAATTGAGCGAGACTACGTTTTCGATCTTCTTGTAGAGGTTGAAGGCTTGGTACTCGATGCGGATGTGGTACGTGGATCCCTTTCGGAATGTGAAAGGGGCAGACCCGTCCGGGGGTAGGGTGCTGTTGGCGAGGATGTAGGTGTAGTCCATGATGTTGCCCATGATGTTGGCAGATGCCGAGAGAGCCTCTACGCCGTGTGTCATGACCAGGTCGTCGTCCACAAAGAGTTTCACTGTTGTGTTGGCTCCTACTGCCACTCCGATCCAGCCATCTACGTCGATGTCGACGGGTGACTTTAGATCGCCCTCCCAAATGGCACTGAAGTTGGTGGAAGGTAACCCGTCAGGGGGGTATAGTCCCCAGTCGAGTGCGGGTGCCTCCATCTTGGACACAATTGGCTGGGTGAAATTGGTGTCCGCGAAATACGTCGTTGAAAGACCCCCTAAACTCCCGTTCGCAGACATGAGATATGGCGGGATGACGTACTGTCCATTGTACTCCCACGTGTTCGATCCCCAGCTGGAGACGAGCTCAAAATCCCCTTCATCTGCATAACCCAGTATCCCTTGACGCATGGTCTGTGCCGCTCCAGCTGGGTACTGTCCCCACGAACCAGAGTAGTCGCCGTAGTTCAAGACGTCAGCAAAGGGGCCGATAAGCGCGATCTTTTTGATATTCTGTTCGCTGGGCTTCAGTGGCAATGTCGAATTTCGGTTCTCGAGGAGAACGATGCTTCTCTGGGCAGCCTCGAGAGTGAGACTTCGATGGTCTTCCACGATTCGCACGGGGTCAATGTCGGCTGCGATGAAGGGGTCGTCGAATAGGCCGAGGTCCCACTTGACGCCTAGCATCCTCTTCGCGTGGGCCTGCACTGTTGATAGTTCGACTGAGCCGTTGGCCACTAGATCTCTTGTTGCCTGTGAGCTTGTTAGCATGTTGTCATCTCCCTACAAGAGTATGGCACATACGTTGAGGTAGGTCTCCAGAGGGTAGTCGTAGAACTGGACCATCCCGCCCGCGTTGAACCATTGCCGCATGGCGTCTGCGGGAGAGTCTGCAACTCGATGTGCCTTGTACAAATCAGACATCCCTTAAACCATTTAGTACGGATAAAAGCCATAGTTTTTAGACTCATGAGCCGTACCTGTATCGTCAGCAATGACGAACCCATCGAATCCCCAGTCATCGAGCGCTGCGTAGAACATGGGATTGACATGCGCCGGCACATCGTCAACTTCATTGTACGCCCTGGATAGAGTGTAAGCAAAGAATTGTTTCTGGGAGGTAAGGTGTATCACATACATCATGACCCCCTTCACCCCCCCGAGCTGAACTGCTGCCTTGAAAGAAGTCAGTAGATCTTGAAGCACTTGGCGGTTTCCATGACCCATGAAAGGGGCAGCATTGTGTCCAGATTGCGGAGCTCCATGGGCCGCGAAGTGCTATATGATGGTATCAGATCAGTCAGAGCCCTACGAAACAGTATTGTATCCTTCCTTCCTACCTTCATCACCGGCACAACAGCATCAGGTTCCGCCCAGGACCCGTTCTTGGACAGGCCAGAAGAGTATGCAATTCCCATGAATGATGTCAACAGCTTGTCTTCTCCCCACGCCTCTAATTACTATTAGTCACGCAGGCCAGTCCCACCGGGTAACAGAACCTTACCTTGCATGCGCCCCCATCTCGGGTCCTGACCAATATCAAGCACTGGAGAGAGACAAGCATGGATGCCGATGGATCTTGCCTCTGTCCCGATCGCCCGCCCGACTCGATAGATTAGCTCTGTATCGAAGCTTGCAGATAGACCTAGGCTCTGGGGAAACATAGACTGCTTGAATGATCCAACGCCATGGAGACATTCCCCGATATGCATGAGCGGGACTTTGATTCGGGACTTCTGAAGGTTCAACTCCTGGACGGAGTTGTAGTGGGACGTGTTGAGGGGATACCTGGACCGTCATGAGTAGCAGCTCGAGAAACATATAGCTAGGCATACCAATCGTGCATCACTCCTATTGGAGAATCAGGGGTGAAGCGCATGGTATAATCTGGTGATGGGTTAGATTTTTCCAGCGGACGCGGCTGGTCATGGGTTCATGCCATAGAGCTCGTTATTGGAATTGACCCCCACGATGTCGCCTCCAAGCATGAGGTGTAGTTGCAGAACTGTGACACGGATGAGTAACGGTCAGTGGGTGTATCCCATGTGGACTCACCAATATCTTCAATCGTCATATTCTGGACCAATGCGTCCGTGAATGCGTCCTTGTCCAGACTCTCCGCATCGTGGACAAACCATCTCGCTGACTTCGGGTTTGCTGTGGGAATGAAGTCTTCCGCGTAAACATTTAGGGGGAGCGAGACGGCTAGCACGAGAAGACCCGTCAGGATCATCATGACGGTAAGCAACCCAGCACTGAGCTAGTCGTGAACGAAGGGTGGGAGGAAGCAGACATGCCAATCGTGCCCTGATCTCCCTTTTGTTGCATCGTCCGACCACATCCGAACATTGATTTCTTGGCTCATCAGATCGCCGTCGAGATACGGTCGAAATCCACCCGACACGCGGGGTAGGGGTGGATCGCGATAGATGCAGATATAACTCAAGGGTGTGAGCGGGGATCAAGCTGCAACAACCTCTGTGAATCCATGTAACCTTACTTTTTAGTTGTTACTATATCTATTGAAGGAAACTTAAACGCTCTCATAATCAACAGTATTCCTAGCCGATTGTTACCATCAGTGAGGAGCAGCCAATATTAAAGAAGGACACGATCGACGACGACAGGAAACCATCGTGATAGCCTCTGCTGTGAAGCACTGCGTATGCGGAATATGGTCTTGAACATTCGTTATCGATGTCGCGCAGGTTTTCCCTTTAATTGTCGTTGAATTCGTTTCCCTCTCTTCGCGTCTTTCTCCTTACAATCTTGTCGCGGACGCTTCTTCAAATTCTCTACTTTTTGGGAGTTCAAAAGTAACGGGACCAAGTCGATACAGCCCAGTCCACCAGACAATAACATAAGCTTGTCCCACTGCTGCTCTCCCTGTATCATCCCAATTTAGAACAGATGAGGTCTGCGCGATGTAGATCGGACAGGCTGACGGCGCGATGATCCCGGCATGAAAAATGACCTGCCCCCTTGATTATCATCCGTCACATCCATGTGGTGGTCATAATGGGATCTCTGATCTTGCCGCTGCTATGTTTATTATGATCAGGCTCGTTATCAAAGAAGGATCAAGTGAGGAACTCAACAGAAAAACAGCCGTAGCGTGCACGTTTCGCGATAGTATGTTCTGGTGGAGTTAGCGGACAGGCCAGACGGAATGACAGGGGGTTCGGACAGATGTTCCTCCGAGTGGATGCAACGGTACAGTGACTTCATTGGAACGGGGGAACACTGCCTGGCAAACTATCTTCGTGATGACTACCTTCGCATAGCAACTGCAGGTGTTAGTACCTACGAAGACGCAAATTGGTCTACCACTCTCTGTTGCTCGTAGCCATGGAGAAACTGTCGGCGTCTGCTGATCGGACACCACTGAGGCCGCAGCGAAGGGGACCAACCGAGGGATGGTCCATCCCGGCCACAAGTGTGGTCCTTACGGTCTTCCTGGTTTCGCTGTACCACGGTTTACCGAAGAGCTATGTCACTCTTACGGACGGTTACAAGCAACTGTCAACTTATGGGATATTCCCGGTCCCTGGCGACCCTTTCCACTTCCTCCCGTGCACAAACGCGACGGTGTCGCCATCGCTTGATGACTCCAATCCCGAGCAAAGCTGGGCGCATCTTTTTGACCCTAACCCTGACCAATGGAGCTGGGGCAACGCGACGAAGAAAGAAAATGCCACGAAAGATCCGTATTCTGGCCGCGGCATCTACCTGTGCGGCTATCTGGACGTTCCACTTGACTACACCAACAAGTCCGACAGCCGTATTGTTCGGCTTGCTGTCACCAAATACCAAGTATCCGGCCTTGCCCGTATCAATGTGGACCGGGGAGCCAGAGCGGCTCCACGGCAAGGGGCTAAGAGCGAGAGAACGATCGTCATTGAGCCGGGCGGCCCTGGCGGAAGTGGCACCAATTACGCGTGGCGAGTTGCTCAGGACGTGTCGAGGCGATTCAGCGATGGGAAGTTTGATGTCCTGGGATGGGATCCTCGCGGTGTCAATGCCACCCGCCCAGCCATCGCGTGCTTTCCCTACGACGCCGACCGCGATCGCTGGTCTCTGCTTACAGGGCAATACCGCGAGATCGCCGGCTTGCCAGAAGCCCAACTTGAGCTTGCTGATGCGATGAACGAAGCTAGATTCCGCGCGTGCTGGGAGCGGCACGGTGATCTGCCTCGATTCGTCAGCACTGCTTTTGTTGCTCGCGACATGGAGGAGATACGCAAGGCCCTTGGAGAGGACGAGTTGACAGGTTATCTCGTCAGCTACGGCACAGGAATTGGCCAGACATATGCCAATATGTTCCCTGGCAGCGTGGGCCGCATAATTATGGATGGGACCGAATACCATGCCCCACCCACCACTCGGCCACCCCCACCACTCGGACTGCAAAATCTACTGCCACACACCAAAACATCAACAACTTCACTTATACCGAATCCAGCTGTTTTTGAAGGGATTCGCGATGTAATTAGTTCGCTGAATAGCTCTTTTCTTGAGGTTTACCCCAATGTAGATCCTTTTAGCCAGACCCGGCGATGAGGGGCCCCCCGCCCGTGGTTTCTACCCCTCATAAGGGCAAATTTGTCCTTTATGTACCCGTTCTCTTCTTTTTTTTTATATAACGTAGCATCGTGACTCTCGAAATGCCTTCTTATACGGAGGATACTATGGCAAATGCCATACTAGATGTCACCGATAACAAGCTGTCGGTCCGAAAATCCGGTCAGAAATGGGGTATCCCTAAGCAGACGCTGTCTGACCGCCTCAACGGCAAACCTTTGAAGGGAGAGACGCAACAGCCAAAAAGAAGACTATCCGACGAGCATGAAACACGCCTAGCCCAGTGGATACTTTGTCAGGAGTCTCTGGGGCTCGCCCAATCGCATAGCGCCGTTAAGGCAATCGTTCAGGCTACCTCCAAATTAAACGGCATCACTGAGACAGTTGGGAAGAACTGGATGGATGGATTTCTTCGCTGTAACCCCCAAATAAAAACAAAAATTGGCCGCAGACAGGAAGCCGCTCGATTTAAGGGCTTTACGCTGAAGTCTGTTACCTCCTTCATTGAGGCCATCTCCGTTACGGGCAAGGCCCTTACGCCAGGCATTATATTTAAAGGAAAAGATCTCCAGGCCCAGTGGTTCCTTCGGGAGTTCAGAGAGATTCCCCCCTGGCATTATATATGCACTGATAATGGCTGGACGGATAACGCAGTTGCTGTGGAGTGGTTGGAAAGTGTTTTCCTCCCTTAAGCCAACCAGGTACGAGAAGATGACAATTATGAAACAGTACTCTTGATCCTTAATGGGCATAAGAGCCATACCTCTGTATGTATTAACTCCTTTATTTTTCTCTATTTTATTTTGTTTGAAATCCATAGATGTATAGCTAACCATTTAGCGGTAGGATGAATTCATAACTACGTGCTTCTTGAACAATGTTCAGCTTTGTTTTCTTCCAGCATATACCTCCCACGGGCTTCAACCACTTGATAACGGCCCTTCTAACGCCGTGAAAGCTGCTTACCGCAAGCATATCACTCAATTAGCTACTCTAACTGATGCTGCCCCTGTGGACAAGATCAACTTCATCAGATGCTATTCCAAGGCGAGGAACAACGGCTTGACGGACAAAAATTGTCAGGCTGGCTTTAGAACTACTGGTAATTGGCCTATGAACCGCAGAAAGGCTTTATCACATTCAGAAATCCAACAGGATAAGGCCGCAACCCCTGAGCCTGAACAGGTCGAAAGTTCAGAACCTGAAGACTTCCAGACGCCTGAAAATAGTCGCCAAATTATGGATATAGGCAAAAACAAGTCCCTAACCACTTGGCTGAAGTTACGCAAGGTTGCGAAAGCCTTTGAGAAGCAATCAGGAGAGATGGTTCTAAAGGACCAGAAGATCGAGAGCCTGGAGGCCAAACTAGACCACATGCGCCCTAAAAAGCACAGAAAGATCCCCAACCTGAATAAACGCTTCAAAAATATCCCGGATATTCTGGCAGCTAGTAAGGAACAGCCTCAGAGAGGCTGCAGGGCCGCGCAGCCTGTGGTTATTGAAGATACCACTAATGAGGAGAAAGAGGATGAAAGTTCTGATTCGGAAGAAGAGGAGGAGATTGTGGCCGCTAGGGAGACCCGTTCGGGCCGACAGAGTCGCCGGCCGGCTAGATATGATAACTAAACCGCCATAGACGAGTAGATTGCACGTTTTCGCAGCCGAAGATACCATGAATTGACTGATTTCGCTGTAAGTGAAGTTGTTGATGTTTTGGTGTGTGGCAGTAGATTTTGCAGTCCGAGTGGTGGGGGTGGCCGAGTGGTGGGTGGGGCATGGTATGTCCGTGATCATCGTTTGCTTGGTGGTTTCGGTTGGACGGCGCTCGACAATGCCACTGACGCCTGGCACGACGGCTTTCTCGGGGAATGCCTCAATGCCGGCCTAAAACACTGCGCCCTGGCTCGACCGAGAGAAGGTGACCCTGTCACTTTAGAGGCTCTGGAACAACGCATGGAAACCACGATTACGTCCCTCATCGAGTGGCCTATCCCCGGGTATTCGAGGCAGAGCGGCCCGTCACTCGTTACATATTCGTCGCTTGTCTCAGCTATCTACGGAGCACTGTATAACCCGCAGAGCTGGCCCCCACTTGCTCAGATGCTGTACGAGCTCGAAGGCGGAAACTCAACGCTTGCGACAGAAATGCTCGAGAAAGTAGAATGGCAATACGATCCGACACTGCCATCGCCGCCTTCCCCCAAGCCCTCATCCGACGAGCTGGGCCATCTGGTGGTTTGTGCGGATTCCTACGATGCTCCGGAACCGCCGGAAGGTCTGATCTGGTGGCAAGACCTGTGGGCCAATATGACTTCCCAGACGTGGATATCAGGCAACTCGCGCTTCTTCAATGTTCTTCCTTGCCGGCATTTCACGACCTACTGGCCTAAGCCAGCTGAGGTTTATCGCGGAGACCTGAACCACACCTTGAGGAACCCAGTGTTGCTGATCGCGGAGACATACGACCCCGCCACGCCTCTGCGGAATGGGAGAAGATTGGCTGCCGAGATGGGTAGCAATGCGAGATTAATCGTCCATCATGGCTATGGCCATTCCTCTAATAGGGACTTGTCCTCATGCACCAATGCAATCGGGAAGGCGTACATCTTAGATGGCAAATTGCCTGACGAACCCGAGACGGCTTGTTTCGCAGACGAAAAACCGTACCTATACGGTGTCAAGGGAGAGTCGGACGTTGCCGATGATATTTTATCCCACGATGATTACCTTAGGATGTGGTCGGATCACGTTCAGGACCTGGCTGGGTGGAACCCGAGGCTACTACGTAACTGAGTATCATCATCCTACGTTCAACTTCGACAAAAGGGCGTGCGTCTAACCGATTTCTTTCACGAGCTGTTTGATTTACCTGTGTTTACTCTGAGACTATCATGAGTGCTCACCCAAGTTTTCCATCTTCTCATTCACCCACGGTGACTTGCTGCCGGCCCAATACAACCCCCCTGAACACTACCAAGGCCTACAAGCAGCTTCTCCGACACGATCTTCCTACGGCCGAGCTCCCTGGTATGATATGAGCACTGGGCCTCGAAGCCCATCTCTACAAACCAAGCCGCCGCCCTTGAACACCGTTCTTATCATGTATATTACTCATTGTATCTCAATCATAACTACTCACTATGTGCCCTCCTTCGCCTGTTCAAACTGCGCCCTCCATCCCCGCCCCCAGTTTTGCTGCCCTGGCCCCTCCATCGACGTCTTGCCTTCTCCCTGACTATTCGGGGGGTGCGCTTGGGTCGGATTAACAGCGGAACCCCCCGCATCAAGTGGTGGCACCTGACTCGTTGTTCCACCTGGACCGCCGGTAGGTGTTTGTCCTTCTCGCGACAATCCGTTTCCGTGGCCCCAACCCTCACTACCCGGCAACTCAGCAACAGGTTTCAATTCTTCGCTCTTCTTCACGCGACCCCCTGGTGCGGTACCCACTACCGCCGAAGCCGCCGCGTGCTCTCCCAGACTCGGCACGGCCTGGTTTGCCTCCAGCTCACTCCTCATACTCCACGGACGCGCCGCATTCCCATCCGCCTCTGACACGGCCTGCCCATCCGTCTCAGCAGCAGGCTTTTCAATAACCTTCCCATCGGCTTCCGAAATGGCCTGGCCAGCAGCTTCAGGCACCGTCGGGTGCGGCTTGTCCTTGGGCCCGCCGTTCTCGATTCCGGATGGCGAGCGTCTACGCCTGCGACGGTAGAGGAATATGGCTATTATGACGGCGAGGAGGAGCGACCCACCGCCTGCGACGCCAACACCGATGCCGATTTTGGCGCCTGAGCTCAGCCCCGAGCTCCGGTCTGAACCAGTGCTGCCATTCGCGCCAGTCTCACCAGGCGAGGACGAGCCGATGGTACCGCTACTTGTGTCCCCGCCAGTTGTGATGCCTTCCGAGGCCGTAGCTGACTGCGTCAGCGTCACTGTCACGGTCTCGCCATTGGAGTTAGTCGAGATCGAGGTCTGAGCCGTAGCCGTAGCGGTGGTTCCGGCCCCTCCAGGAGAGGTCGGGATGTGGCCGACGAAGAATTGGATACTGCCTCCGGTGCTGTCCGGCAGCGAGGCGATGTTTGCAAGGCTGTTGCTGTCGCTGAATGCCGTCGTAGCCGATGCAGCGTCGGTGCAAGAGCAGAAGGAGCCGGGTTGGAGGGTTGTTGGGTTGCCTTCTTGTGAGCAGGCCGCCCAGACGCCGTCGCTGTTGTCGCATAGAGTAAGGGCGATCCATGGCCCGTCGTCTAGGAGTTGTTAGTACCCAGCGCGTTTAAGTCTTCACATCTTTCCGGCGTTCCACTTACCGATTCCCTTCTTGTCCGGACAAGTCGCGTCCTTGTAGTCCGGATCAGTGCACCCGGCCATGTATGTGAGGGAGCTGCCATAGCCGGAGCCATAGTATCCAAAGCAAGCATTGTCGGCTAGACAGTTATCTCCTCCTCCACAACATGTATGATGGCCGAAGGCGTCATTGCCGCAAGGGATGAAGTTCCCGGCCTCGAACTTCTTTCCTACCGCTGTGTAGCACGTGCCATTGCTGAGGAATATGTTCTGGTTGTTCATCGCCACTTGATCCAGGAGGTTTACTGCGTGTTGCGAACTAGATGCACCTCAGATGGATATTGCGCCTAGTATGGGTATTGTGATGCATTGTCTAACATTAAATCGAGCGAACTTGGTGGAGTAGAGAAACTTGGTATTCTCTCACACGGGTAAGCAAGGGAGGCGAAACGTGATACGGCCTTCACCAGTCAATGACGTTGGTACCCTTGAGCCCCTGGCTGGCTATACTACACCTCGGCTATAGCTGAGCGCCACTTTGCGATCGGCTGCGCCTTCGCCAATCGGTTGCTGGGGAGTACATGCTCCGGGGATACTACCTGCGTCAGTGCTCGCCGTCCAGGATCCCGGTTGCGTTTCATATTGAGCAGCATGGTAAATCACGACCGCCTTGGTTCGTTGAGGTTTGGAGCTGCCTCATTGGGTGCGGAATGCTGCATGCTGAACGAACGTAAAATGTCACTGTTCAGTTGGCGATGGTTCAACAGCGCAGATGAACATTGAAAGGGTATGTAATCACATGATACAAGCTAGCGAGTAGCCACGGCGATTTTGCATGTGCGAAAGACGCCATCTCTCAAGTGGAAACTCTAAATCAAAGACTCGGATCCAAACGCTCAAAACACCCTCAAATCGATCCCTCTGTCAAAGCTTGCTTCGATTGCATAGAAGCCCTCTTCATTTGACTCGCCTACACTAGATCAAAGACTGGGGAGATGCAATGGCAGCAGACTGGTTGAGGGAGGACTCGCTACAGCGCCAGAGCCAATGAAATTTGTTGACTGTGTTAAAGATCTGGGACTGCCAACCTTCTTGTTGGAACGCGAACCACACGATCGTGCCTCCCTTCGTTCGAGCCCCAGAGTGAGGGCTCGATGGGTCAAGGCAAAGGAATTTTGAGTAAGTTGGCTGAAAAATGCTTGACAACCGGTCGCCGGCAATATCGCCTTACTGTCCCGTTGGCCTCACACAAGATCATAGTCACATAGCCCGTGGTCCGTAATTTTCTCCACTCTTGCTATTCCAAGCGAGCTATGGTGGGAAAAAGCGCTTGGTCGACACCACAGATTGTTGCCCGAGGTAAGAGCATCCACCAGCTTATGAACCCCTATCGCGGTCAGGACCTAAGCGATATCAAGCCTAGGCCCTTCGGTCCAAGCTGAAGACGATGTACAGTCTGCAGCGTATCAAATGTATTCAGCTGTCGCGTGGAAGATGGGAAGTCGCTCAGAAATCCGGCCTAGATGAGCTCACCGTCGCATATTCTGGAAGTCGATGACGGTCAATTGAGCCCACTGCGAGGTGGTCTCGGCGGATATTGGCATTGAGGTGGGGTAAGAGCAACACATATTGTTGCATAAGAGACTTGTTTATTATCGTTGGAGAATTCACGTCTGCATCAAAAGTTCGAGGCCATGAAACTTGATAAAACGAGAGACTAGATACAGAATCAGGCTGGACAGCAACCGGGAGGATCGTCCCGGTACTAGCAAGTCTTCAGCTAATCGCCGTCGTGGTCAGTGGGTTCGTCCTCCCAGTCAACCATCCTAGTCTAATTCGTCGAAGTTCTCGTCCAACTCTTTCATCTCTTCCTTGAACTTGTCGTCATCGTGGCATTCCTTTGAATACTCAAAGTCCAAAATATAGCACTTCTCGTTCATCATGAGGAATTGGCCTATATTCGGGTCTCCATGAAGAAGCCCGACATCGTGGAAAGCCTGCAGCTTGTCTTTGCAGGCTTTCCTGTCATGCTTGGTTGGCTTGCTTGCCCTGTCAAGCAACTCAATCAGGAATCCGAAGGGCTTGCCCTTCTTTGTGACGATCGCTTCAAACTGAGGGCCTATCTCCTTGCCCTCAATCTTCTTGTATGCTTCGACCTCGGTGTTCAGGTTCGTCTCGAGTTCGTCATCGAAGTATTTGAACAACACGTCACCAAAACCGTCCACGGCTGCCTTGAAGACCCTGGCGTCGTCTTCCTCGGCCAGCCCGTCCAAGTAGTCAGCGTTGATAACCTTCTGGTTGGTGACTTTGCTCTCGTCGACTTTGGGCTTCAGGGTCCATTTTACAGCTCGGCTGGATACAAGCCCTCTCTTTTCTACCTCCGAGGTAGCTTTCGTGCTTGCGAGAGCTCGACCCTGTCGTGAAATGTCAGCACGGCTGGTCTCTCATACGGCTCCTGTACGGTGACCGAAGCTGTAGCAACTTACCGCAACTAGACCCTCGTGAGGGCCGAGACTGGGGCTGAGGAGACCAAGTAGGCCAATGTGTAGGATGTTCTGGAGATGCATTTGATGTACAGAATGAAATTCAAGTATGGAACGGTATGTATCAGCGACGGCTGCTGAGAATAGTTTTTTCCCAAATGCCGTTTGGGTCGTGGTGAAATTCGAGTTGGCTGTATGAGAAGTGCGATTTGTAGACCTAGGAATCAAGGCGGCTATTGGTATATATATATATATCATACCCGAGCTGTGAGCTGTTCAATATTCCTCAAAAGACGTCATACAACCTCTATCCTGACTTGCGAGACGATTCTAATTTTATCAGCGTTGTTCATGATGACGATAGGCTGGCCCTCGGCAGGCCCGTGGCTTGTCGACCCTTATCCCCTTGCCTGCTCGTCAGCACCAGCTCACCAAAAGTTAGGTACTATACCTGGTGAGTTCATGATTACTAAGGATTTCTGCTTGCAGGGGCGAATGGGCCAATGTGATGTTACGATCTAATCCCTGAATGGGGGCTTCTTGGGCTGAGCGTCGCTGATCTCGTACACTAAAAGCTGGTGCTGACGAGCAGCTGAGGGATACAAGTGTGGTTCCTACATTCCTTCGCCTTGGCATGTCGTATAGTCGTGGACGGCGACCCAATCATAACTACAACATTGCACATACATGGTGTAATATATTTAGACTAGATCGGCGTTACATATAGTTCCTGCTTATCAGGAGCAACTCACACTCGTCACATTCGTCACATCGATCCACAACAATTTGGTCAGCCACCTCGCCTAATCTAAACTCTGATGATTGCAAAAGGTGCTGGCTCTTAATGCCGGAGCGGCGATTTGCATGGTTTAGATGTCGATCAGACTATCTTTAGCTGCGGATGGGATGAAAGGGTTGCGCCTGCAGAACATCGGCACTGGAATGTTTGTAAAAGACCCGTAGGGTGAGGGCGACGCAGCTCCTGATATTCCAACCGTCAAAATTGAACCAAGTTACCATTCCCCCCCTACATCTCCGACACCCCCACATCTCGTACAGCAAAACCCCACCACCACCACCTAAACCCTATATGTTTACTTATATGCTTTCAGCCCAATATCGAAGCTGTTCAGAATGTATTTAGTGCTCTAGATAGCCCTGATCTTAGGGTTAATCCAATGTAGAATTTACCCTGCGCAGCCTACGTGATTGGTTGTCTATTACCCCGCGTTTCCTACCCTGAAAAGAGATTTTCGGGTGCTAGAGCCTGTTGGATTCTGGGCTACGTTAGCCCATCCATAGTCATCCTTCAGGATCACCATCCCCATCTATGACTCTGTCACATACGTGGCCACATAAGGCCACGTATCCTTTCCTTTAGTATCTTGGATATATAGGGCCACTCTGGCCGCTCCAGAGTAGCTGGAATTCCTCTCCTTAATAGAACACTTTGAAATCTCACAGAGCCTCGTCTGAAGATTTGTTCTATATGCACCCCAGCATCGTATAGCCGTCTAAAATGCCTCCCAAACCGTATACAGAGGATCAAATGGCGAATGCCATCTTAGATATCACAGATAAAGGCCTCTCGCTGCAAAAAAGCGTTCAAAAACACGGCATCCCTGCCACAATGCTCTCTGACCGACTTAACGGCAAGCCCTCGAAAGGCGAAGGCCATATACACTAATAAGGACTCTCTCCTGCTCAATAAAGCACTATAATCAACTGAATTTTGTGTCAAAAGAAGCTAGGACTAGCCCCTTCGCACTCCCTGGTGCGTGAGATCATCGTGAAGGTGTTGAGAAAGAACGGAAATTCAGGCCCCCTTGGAGACCACTTCATGACCGGCTTCAAGCGCCGCAACCCACAAAGACCAAAATTGGTAAAAGGATGGAATCAGCGCGCTTTAAGGGCTTCACACCGAAGGCAGTTAACTGGTTCTTTGAAATCCTAGAGGATTACGGCTGGGTCAAGCCAGAAAACACGTATAATATTGATAAGGGCGGCATCATGGCGGGTTTTGGTGACTATAACTACCCCTTTAAATCCATAGAAATTCTAATTATCTTTATAGACATCGATTCTCTGGTTTTAGGTAGTTCTGTTACTAAGAAGACCTTCTTAAAGAGCCCCCAGAGCCGTAACTGGACCTCCTTTATTGAGGCAATCTCTGCAACTGGAAAAATCCTCAAATCAGGTATTATCTTCAAGGGAAGGACCTCCATGCCCAGTGGTTCATTAGGGAGTTTCGAAAGACCGCCGATTGGCATTTTATATGCTCAGAAAACGGCTGGACTTCGAATAACATAACCTGCCGGTGGCTAGAAAATGTCTTCATCCCGCAGATAGACAAGATACGAGGAGAAGATCAGGCTGAGCCTGTTCTTTTGATACTAGATGGCCATGGTAGCCACACCCTCGTACGTATATGATTTTTCCTTATTTTATATAGACTTCTTTTATTTTTTCCTGATTTAATAAGGACTATTGCGTGTTATAAGGACGAATTCATAACCATTTGTTATTTTGCCAACATATTGCTCTGTTTCTTCCCTGCGCACACTAGTCACGGCATGCAACCCCTAGATAACGGGCCCTATAACGCCTTGAAGGCTCACTACCAGAAATTCCTCTCTCAGCTAAATTCTTTGACGGGTGCCGTCAAGGCTTAGACGAACAAAGATTGGCCAGTAGGTAGATTGACACTGATATTGCTATCCTATGTACTAGTGGTAGAGTACAAGACGAGAGACGAAGAGAAAAAAGAGGAAACAAGCAAAGAGACGTTTCACGAGCCAACTATATAGAATCTCGTACAGAGATTCCATCTCGTTCCACGATGTTCTACGCGTGCTTCCAAACTATTCCAGATCGTTCCATGACAGGTGCCTCGCCTGTTAACAAGATCAACTTCATTCAGCGCTATAGCCAGGCCAGAACTGCTGCTTTTATCAAGGCAAATACCCTCTCTGGCTTCAGAATGACTGGATGGTATCCTATTAGCCGCAGGAAGTACTTAGCGCATCGAGAAATCCAGGGAAAAGAAGCAGAAGACCCCTGAGCCTGAGACCCCTGAAAGCTCTGAACCAGAGGCTCAACGACCCCCTATTACGAGCCGCCAGGTCATGAATTTCGGCAAAAATAAGTCTCCTGGCACCCGGCTGAAGTACAGAAAGATAGCCACTGCGTTCGAGGCTAAGGAGACCGACCTTGTTACCAAGGACAGGAAGATCAAGGCCCTGAGGCTGAAGTGGAGCGGCTACGGCCAAAGAAGCACCAGAAGATCCCTAATCCTAACAAGAAGTTCAGCATAGTCACAGAGGTACTAGAAGAAGACAAAGACTCGGCTGAAGAGGCCGCTTTGGAGGCCATACAGGAGCCTAGGCAGACCCGTTCGGGGCGATCCATTCGGGCGCCCACTAGATATTACGAATGAGCAGCTTCTGCGCTCTCGAATGATAATTTTGCTGAATTTCTCTGACCTGAATGACTTCTTTTACATGTGGGTGAATAAGGGGGTGTTTTGGTAGTGTTGGTGGGGTTTGGCTGTACGAGATGTGGGGGGGATGGTATGAATAGCCTGATCATGGGGAAGACTTTCCATAACGTGGTGCTGAAATCTGGACGCCAGGCCTTTCAAGAACCGGCAATAACGCTCGGCTCTCTCGATTAACAACGACCAATGTGCGAGCACGACCAGTGTGGCTAGGGCCTGACACGATACCATCTCGTGGAAGTGAGCTGGTACTCGCCGTAGCCACACGACTCCATGCCCATTCAGACCGTAAAGCCGTCATCAGACGCATAGCTCACAGAGCAGCATTCAACGAGCGCGTTGATAGCAGAGAGCGTGGTGAACATTTCGAGGACGCTTTTAGTGTTCCAAACACCTCTGCCATGAGGAAAGGGAGTGTGTGTATTCGGCTGACCAGCTCAGGAGGCGCGTTGTTGGGGACACCAGTATCCGTTGCTCATTCTGTATTGTTGCTGGCGTGACTGACTATTGCGTCGACGTTTCCCCCCGCCACTGTAGATGACTGAGAAGCCAAATCCGGGTCGGCGCAGCCCCTGATGGTCGCCATGAATGACCACAGTTGGAACGGTTCTAAAATCATGGTTTGGCCGAGCGCCAATGGATCGAGTGACCAATGGCAAAAACGTCGAATGCACGCTATCTGAGCGCCCACTTTCGCGTTCTCGACTTGGCCAACATCATGAGCACGCTCTACCTCTTTCCGTCCAATGGAAAACTGTCAGGAGTAGAGCATGAATTGCGCTTGGTGCACTTTCTCGGTCGCCTCGTCTTTCGCAAGCGAGGCCAGGTGACTGGTAGAGACAGCCAACAGACCCGACATGAGCCAGCTGAGGAGCTCGTGCAACCACATTGGCGTGCCAGTGATTCGCGGGCTGATGACTTGTGACGGGAAGTGTGGCGCCCGTCGAGGTAACGAAGTGATGGAAATATCTGAGCGTATTCAGGTCCGGAACGGACGCAGGGGTTGGAAGAACCGCTGATGGTGGCATAGGATGGATTGAGGTGGCTACGGGGCCGAGGCCACGATTACCATTCGGCTGTTCAATCCCAACATCGTCACTTGTCGGCGGCTTTCCGCTTATTGCTCAAGATAAAGCAATCTCAGAACTCCCGAGTTTCGCCCCCCGAAAGAATGTTTGAAGATTGACCGAGCGGGCGAAGAACTCTGGCGGTTTGCTAACTCCGTGCACTTCACTCCAATGATGCCTCATCCTTTTGGAGCTGGCAAGGAGCCTGTTACAACCAGCGGCCATGCATCCGTAGCCCGGGGTGACTGGCAACCAATCCACTGGCGGGGATTCCGGAGGTGGAAGTTGGACATCGCGTGGTTCTAAAAGTTGCATTTGTGAAATCGATGATAATAAAGGTTGTCTTTCGCCTGGGTAGATCTTGTGGCGGAGCAAGTGGCTGCCCAGAGCGCTTTTCTGAATCGCGTACTCACACTCCTCACATAACAGCACGCTGTGCTCCGCATTGTACACGAATAGATCACGCGCGCCAAACGTAATAGACATGATGCCTAAGTACGTGGTTGTGATGGTCCCATTGGCCAGTATGTTCCTTAGATATAGGCCTGACAGGGAGGCCTTGGGCCTCCAAATCGTGGAGTCTGACGCTTCAAGCGATGGATGGGCGAAGGGGCCAAAGAAGGTGAAGATTTGAAGGGGGCAAATTGATGCATGGCACCAGACATGTGGTGTAAGCTAACCTTAAGCCACAACGTTGCCGCCACGCCCCAGCCCAGCTGACATGCTTACTTGAGAAGTAAAGGGACAGGAAACACAGGTGGCCGACCAGAACGCCATATGAGGTTCCAAACACCATGTGTGGTTTTGGGAACACCTCCGTCAACGGCATAATACGGTTTCTTCTGACGGTTGCTGGCACATTACCATGTTGTTCTTGGACCCCAACTAGCAAATATGACTGAGCACTATTCAAAAATGAAGCTTCCTTGTCATCTGAATTTGAATAAGATCACGGATAGGCGTGGTCACATTCAGGCTTGAAGGACTTCTGCGATGGATGGCTGTGACCACCAGAAGCATATGAATAAATAGCACCATCCAACAGTCATTTTCTCTATTGTATCTTTCCTCCATCATCGTCTGATTACCAGCAGATGGAAAAATTTCTTCACTATCCAACAATCACCATACAAACACACGCAAAGGCATCAAACCAAGCAGCCTCGCTCCGCGAAGCCTCGGCTCCCCTAGTCGTGCGAGAAGCACCTATGCCGACCGCGGCCGCAACGAGCTAGTCATTGCCAACGCAGCCATTGCCATCAACCCGCCCATATGCAAGACGTCGGTGTCTTCGTGCAGCAATGGCCCACCATCTTGGGCTGCGATGTGGCTGGTGTAGTCCATGGGGTGGGTGCACTATTGAGCGCGCGCTTCAAGAAGGGAAATCGCGTAATTGGGTGAGTCCACCTGGATATAACGACAAGCATGCGCAAAGGCCGTGGACTGATGATGGGAAACCAAATAGGCACGTGATCAATCTGGTCAGTGGCCGACCTCAAGACGGGGCATTCGCCCTGTACTCAGTCGTCTCGGGGGACAAGGTGGCCATTCTTTCTGATGCCATCTCGTTCAAGGACGTGCCCTTCGCTCTGGAAGCGGCCGTCTGTGTACTTTCACCCAAGCAGCCTGGGACCGCAATGCCAAACATTTCCGCGCCTGCACTCGGCCTTCCATATCCCTTGCTGGAGCCGCCCTCAATCATCAAGACCCTCATGGTATACGGCGGGTCCTCACCGGTAGGTTCTATGACGACCCAGCTGGCTATGGCCGCATGTATCAGTGTAATAGCCGTGGCCAGCGAGAAGAATTTTGATCTTTGCAGAAGCTGTGGGGAATTTGAAGTCTTCGACTACCATGACGAGGTTCATTGAACCTGCCTTCGTCGGCAAAGTCTTCGAAGCTGTCTCCAAGTCCGGGCAGGACTTTGTTAGTATCTTCGATGCGGTCTCCTGCCAGAGGCATACGCGAAAAATCTTGCCATTATATTCCAACTGGGTGGGGGTCATCTAGCTTGTGTCCAATCCCCTTCTAGCGAAACCCCGGGAATGTTCAGGCGGGCATGATTTTCGCTGTGAAACGATGTCGCCACCCCTGTCTGGAGTGGCTATGTCACTGCCGCGTTGCAGACAGGGAAGCTCAAGTGCCTTCCACCCCCAAATGTTGTCGGCAAGGGCTTGGAGTACCATCCCCCCCATAGAAGTCGGACACCGACACTAGTGGGACAGCCAAACCCCACCATCACTACCAAAACACCCCTTTATTTACTTACACGCTTTCAGCCCGATATTGAAGTTACTTAAATGTAATTATTGCTTTAAATAGCTTCGATTTTGGGGTTTACTTTAATGTAGAATTTACGCCGCTTAGCTTATGTGATTAGTTATTTATTACCTCGCGTTTTTTGTTTCAAATAGTAAATTTACTAAATGTGTTGGGTTAACAGTACGCCTAGAAGGCACCTTGACAGGTAGACAACAGAACCTAGTTGTCCCGTCCCGATCTAGCCCCCTCTGGCACAAAACTGCCACGGTCGCACAAGGACACTTTGAACAGACAGAATACATACACACACTTCACTCTCACGATTGGCTTAAACCTGACACCTTGCAAGGCTCCCTTAAAGCCTTATTCTATATGCTAGCCGTTTAAAATGCTTTTTTATTCGTATATAAAGGATTAAATAGCAAATATTATTTTTAACATTATGTATAAGGGCTTCTCTTTATAAAAAGCGCTTGAAATGTAACATCTTCTTTTAAACGCTATTTAATCGACTTAATAGCAAGCTTATAAAAGCTGAGGCCTATATATAGTAACAAAGACCTTTTTTGTTTGAAGAACTACTTTAGTTAATAGATTTTGCGTTAAAACAAATTAAGATTAGCTTTTTATTACTTTTGAATTTGTAAGATCATTATAAAATTATATAAAAAAGAGAAATAAACCCCTTTTAAAAGATGCTTTTATAGCGCGTTTTAAGTATTATAACTGTTGGATCCATGTGATTCTACAGTCAAACTATCTATACGGAACCCACATGTATGATTAGATAAGAGATTAGATACCAGATTGTGAGGTCACTTAGCCAGACCTGCAGGTCCAGCTAGACTTCACAATCCCAACCATCAGCAACATCATGACCTTGACCCCATACTCGAGTATCATGATTGATCGTTCAAGCCTGTTTCCACAATAACCTTTACATAAAGATTGAAGATTAAATAAAAAGATGGAATTAGTACGCTTTAAGGGGTTTACGATTAAAGTAGTTAACTGGTTTTTTAAAGATTTCGAAGATTATGGCTGGGTAAAGCTAGAGAATATATATAATCTAGAGAATATATATAATATTAACAAAGGCGGCATTATGGCGGGCTATAGTAACTCTATTTACCTTTTTGATTTTACAAATCATGCGTTGTGCAATGGGTATCAATTAATTTGTGGGTGAGGGCGTGGAAGGCATGGACCAGATGGGCTGGAGCTGCATCTATTTATGGTGGATGCAGCTCCTTATCTAAATCCTGCCCTAATCTATCAAGTCAGCCCTTATCTAAGCTATCTATCTAGATCTACACACTAGTGGCTGTAGGTGTGCTAACCACATCACACACCAGTGGCTGTGGCCATGCTAGCTACATACTAACTACTCCCCTTGGTGACACGTATCAATAAAATTCCAATTGTATTTATAGATATCGACTTTTTCGTTTTAGGTAGTTTTGCTACTAAAAAAACCTTTTTAAAAAGCTTTTAGAACTGCAATTAAACCTCCTTTATCAGGCTATTTTAATTACGGGAAAAATCTTTCAACCGGGTTTATCTTTAAAGGTAAAAAGTTTTAAGTTTGAAAGTTTATTAAGGAGGTTTAAAAGATTGCCGATCATCATTTTATATGTTTCAAAAACGGCTGGACTTTTAATAACATAGCTTATTAGTAGTTAAACGACGTATTTATCTTATAGGTAAATAAAATACGGAAAAAAATTTAGTTTAAAGTTGTTTTTTATATTAGATAGCTATAATAGCTATACGTTTATACGTAAATAAATCTTCTTTGTTTTATTTATACTTTTTTTATAAAAATAAATTGAAGCTAACGCGTGTTAATATACCGAGTTTATAACTATATGTTATTTTGCTAATATCTTGCGTTGTTGTTTTTTTCTGCTTATACTAATTACGGCATATAGCCTTTAAACAACGGGCTTTATAACCCTTTAAAGTCTTATTATTAAAAAAATATTTTTATAATTAAAAAATTTAATGGATGATTTGCTTGTTAATAAAATTAGCTTTGTTCGGTGCCGTAGTTAAGTAAAAACGTTTGCTTTTATTAAGGCAATTATTAAATGCTATTTAATTAGCTACAAGAAGTACCTAGCAGATTAAAAAAATTAAAAAGATAAGCAAAAAACACTTAAGCTTAAGACCTTTAAAAGTATTAAACCAAAAGACTGATAAACTTTTATTACAAGCCAAGAAACTATAGATTTCGATAAAAATAAATCCATTAGTAACTGCTTGAAGTATTAGGTTTTTTTTTGTGCGTTTGAAATTAATGAAACGGGAGTTATTATCTAAGCTCAAAAAATAAAAGCTCTAAAAGTTAAATTTAGGCGGTTAGGGCCTAAAAAGCAGCAAAGATTCTTTAATTTTAATAAGAAGTTTAAAACTATAACGGAAATATGATGGAACGCTCACCATAACCACCATGCCACGGCTGTTCCTCCCAAAAGGATGTTGAATATGAAGCGTGGCAGCTTGACATCTAATGGTGGTACATGTACTCATGTCCGGGCTCCAGGACTCACCACATAGGCTACCTGTACCAGACCATAACATGTCACGATCCGTATTACGAAGTAGGAGCGCAATAGATTCAATTACTGTATACGTATAAAAATCATCTGGTGGAGAAGTGTGACGTCCTGCACAGACCTTCCCACATGACAAGCGGATACTTCCCAATAGGGGAAGGATCTGACCAGAGGATCCCCTTAAAGGGGCAACCTCCCACTGTACCTATCTCTTTCTCTCTCTTCCTTTCCTCTCTAGTCTTGATATTCTCGTCAATAGAGTAATGGCTGCTTGCTGCCGGCCATGTCCCAGCTCCTCAGTACGCTCGCCGTGACAAGAAGGAAAAGAAGATACCCGCAGCCAAATTGGCTGGTGGGATAGATCGAAGCGACCGCCCCGCAATTCGGCTACGGAGCAATGTTCACCAGGTTATGTGACTTGCACGTGACGGGGACCAGGGCCAGTGGTGGTGGCTAGGTGGCTAGGCATCATCACAGGAAATCTTATTTAAAAGAGGTATTATTGGCCTTGAAACGCTTCTAGAAGTATAAAAAGAAGTAATTATTAAACCGGAAAATAAGAAATAAAATACAGATAAAGCCCTTAAGAAAGCCGCTTTAAAGGCTATCTAGCAGCTTAAGTTAATACGTTCCGGCCGCGCGATGCGGGCGCCTGCTAGACTGTATAAATAAGCAGCTTTAGCGCTTTCGAATGATAATTTTGCTAAATTTCTCTAATCTGAATGACTTCTTTTACATCTAGGTAAATAAAGGGGTGTTTTTAGTAGTAATGGTGCGGTTTGGCTGTCTGACTAGTAGGGGTGTCCGACTTCTAAGGGGGGATGGTACATTCGTTGCGGAATCCAAGAAGGGTATGCCCTGCACGCTCGCTACTGTATTGTAACTGTTTCATTCAGTGTGATAATTCCAAGCAAATGGTGCATATATTAAGGAAATCCGCTACGCCACGCGTACGGAGGCTGGAATGTGGTACTAGCTCTCCTGCTGCTATCCTCAGTACCAAGACACAGAAACTTATCTCCCCAGAAAACAAACGACTCGAAGTAACAAAGAGACTTGAGCCAGTTAATAGCCCTTTGATTATGTGAGAACCGCCAAAGTCCAGGCGGGGTATTGAGTATTATTGGCGCCCGCCATCGCGTATGCCCTTATGACCTGTTCTTTGAACATGTCGTGGGCTGTGATCCGATATCGGTTTCCCATGGTAGCCTGCGTAGAGAACTGCCCCAGTCCCTGACCCGCGACACCGCTGTTGTGTTGCAGAATGCGGAACAGAGCGAGAAACAGCCGAGGCAGTTGTAAGGTAAATCCCGAAGCGTCCTCCTGATCGTCTCCCAACATGGGTCTAAGCGAATATGCTGCTAAACCAGGAAGACTAATGTCTTTACTGGAGAGACACATCGTCAGAATATGATAGTTGGGACGTGAGGTAGGATAATGCACGACTGTGCCAATTGGTAACATTCAGCTCTGCCGCTTGCATTCCCCATGGCATAACTGTCCACAACGAAAGTCCAAGGCCTGGTTGAGCACGAGCGTGTGACCGCAGGTAAGGGCACCCCCTGTAGCGAGTGACGGAGTTCACTGGCCCAGGAAGACCGGTACCTGGCCCGTTCGGTCCGAAACCTACCCCGATTGGCTCAAATAGAGCCATCCGCGGCCCTGTGCAAGGGGGCGAAACCTGTTCTGGCCGTTTGCCAAAAGTTTTGTACTTTTGTCCAACGTGCTGCTTGCCAAGCAGATCAACACCACTTTAACAATGATAATTAGCAACTACTCAACTATGGTAAATCTGTGGATGACAGAGAGATGGAATGGAGCTTCAGGAACTGCTAGTATCGACGGTAGTGCTGACTGCCAGAAGACAGCTAAGTTAACCGGCCAGGGGCACAATGAAAAGCTTTTTACATGACTCACGTATCGTGCCAACTCATTTCATTCATCTCTCTATCCCAGATCGTCAAAGAGTAGACGTTCGAGGCAGGACTGACTCCAGGATGGTTATGTATAAACAATGCTAAGCGGTAACGCGCCAGGGAATTTGCGAGAGT